CAAAAGAAAAAAAAATCTTTATACCTAAGTAACATATTTGGGGGTGTGTGTCATATTCTGCAACTTACAGGATAAATAAGAAATTGATTACTTTTAGGAAAGTTGGATTGCTATGCCTTGGATGACTGCCTTCCAAAGGTTCACGCATTAAAGCCTTGGTCCCCAGGTGACACTATTGGGAGGTGGTGGAATATTTGAGAAGTGGGACATAGGGGAACGTCCTTAGGTCATTGACAATTTTGAGACCTCAGCCCCTATTGATGCAAAAACAAAGTTTTACATCAAAGGGGATAATAAAGCTTATTCTGGAGTCAAATATGAGTGACAAAGCCTAGAAACATGGAATGATGTTTTGTCAGATAGCATAGTCTATTGTGGAAGTGGTTACATGAGATTTTATTGATTACAGAAACTTCATAAATGAAAGTATTTGCCAAATGTATGGTACCACAGGTGAGGTGACAGCTAAGCAGGGTAACTCTACTATAGATTTCAGATGTTATCTGATGACATTCTTACCTTTTGGGTTGGTGAAAGCTAATCATTTGCTAAGAACATATTTTAAGATTTTGATAGTCACAAAGATGTTAGGTGAGACACAGGGGTGGGTAATAGATGGCTTTCCACAGGGAGCAAAAGTAGCCCAATATAATTCAGCTGTGTTTTGCAATATTTTTTAAAACATTGAATTTTTGCAATTTCATACTACATAATTTGATGGTATTTAGATCTCCTCCCCTATACACAGCGTCCCTCAAGGCCCCAGCCCAATTTTATGTCTCATACAAATATATATGGCCTATAGAGAATGATTGTGTCCCCAAGTGGCCTTCAGTGTGGGTCCATCCACTGGATCCACCAAGAGTCCTATCCCTGTAAAATACTGTCTCTCTGCCCTCCAAGAAGCCATTACCAAAATTTCCTTAGGTTGGGTTGGGATTTCTTATCCACTTCCCTGTAACTATGCTGGAATTTTGTCAGGTTTGAGCTTGCATAGGACTTGTGTGTGCTGCCACCATAGCTGTGAATTCAGATGGGTAACTGATTAGCTCTTTTTCTTTGTAGTCATGGAACTCCTCTGGTTCCTACAGTCTTTCTGCCTTCTCTTCCCCAATCATCCCTGAGCCTAGGGAAGCAAAGGTTTGAAATGCATCTCGTACTAGGGATAAGCATTCTGTGGCTTCTTGTTCTCTGCACATTGGCCAACTGTGGGTTTCTGTGTTAATCACCATCTGCTACATAAGGAAATTTCTCTGGTGAGAGTTGAAAGACACATTCATCTTATGTGGAGAGGCTGCACTGAAGATGTGTCACTTAGAGTTAAGTGTCTCACAGACATTTATTCTCTACATTTGCAGACAAATGTACCTTTCACCCATCATCAGATAAGCTCCTTTTTGCAACAGACTGAGACTACAACAGAGTTCAAGAACTCATGAAATATGTTTTGTAACAATTTAACTCTTTATTATCTCAAAGATCAGTCCTTTGGCCTTGAAAAATCTTTAATGCAGGTGTACTTTCTTTCTTCCTTCTTTCCTTCCTTCCTTTCTTCCTTCCTTCCCCTCCCTCCCTCCCTCCCTCCTTCCCTCCCTCCCTTCCTTCCTTCTTTCCATCCTTCTGGGAGCCAGTTCACAAGACATACTCTCCTTCTACTTCCTAGTTTATATTTGCTTCGACATCCACTTCCCACCACCATCCAGCACCTCACTGGCAATCTAAAGCAGCAGGGCCACGATGTCTTGTACTAGAAGCTCCAAATTCATAAGTCAAAATAAGCCACCTTTATTTCTTAAGTAGAGTATTGCTGGAATTTCATTATAATAACACAAAGTGGGCTAAAACAAAGACCAAATATCAGAACAGAGACATTGCATGTTCTCAAAAGAAGCATGATCCAAGACACTTCGTTACATGAAGTGTTTTTTTTTCTACTTTCATTTCATAGTTGCATAATAGGAGCACAGGAACAAAATGGTGCTCAGAAATAATGCCTCATTATTGAGGTAACACAGGATTTGATGTCTCCACCTCTGTGAGAAATACTTTTCTAGGAATACCTTCTTTGACAAATTAGAATCTTACCTAACTTTTAAATTAAAATTAATCTTTTGAGATCATTTGACACTATCTCAGCTTGTTTACAATATAAATAAGCTTACTAGGCTTTGGGTGCCTCTTGGAAATTCAACACATAGCTTTAATTCCTCATGACACTTCCTTGCCCTGACCCAGAATAACGCATGCACATGTGCACTTGTGCATGTGTGCGCACACACGTGTGTGTGTATGTGTGTGTCAGTTGTGAAAGTATCAGCACTGAAAGCAGAAAATATACCTTTTGTGTTACAACTAGCAGGTGGAGTTACACTGATAATATGTTTGTGGTTTTGTATGTTGTTCTGGGTCAGTAGGGGAAAAATGTTTTTCTGATAAGACAGACTCCTCAATCTTTTCCCATATCATGCTGAATGTACCTCATCAATAAGTAGCAAGCAAGTCCTTTGTTCTGTGGAACATTCTTGAGAGAACTCAGAAGGAATGAGTTTCAGAATGGATCAGGTACACAGTTGGTTTTAAGTTATGTCAACTGTCGAGCTGTCATGGTTCTGGCACCACCATACTGTGGCATCTCATCACCACATATTTCTACCAATTTCAAAGAGATATTTGGAGTCTACTCTGTGGTTTCTGTACAATGGAAATCTCTCACTCAAAACCTTTTTCTATTAGTCATATATTGCCACATAATGAATTATCTCAAAGTTTATGTAAAGTAATAACCAGGAATGGATTAATTAAGTGGTTGTAGTTCTGGGTCTTTCAAGATTTGCAGTCATCCCAATTTTGAAGAATTTACTTCAAAGCACAAGTGTGTGGGTTATTTGTACAACTCACTTCTTCTCTGGCCATTGGATGCACACTTGCCACATGGACTTCTGTATAGAAGATTGTCTTTAAAACATGACCACTGGATTTCTCAACTGGAAGCCACATGAGATAACAAACCTAAGATGGAAGTCATGGTCTTTTATAACCTAAGTTCTGCTGTATATGATATTTTACATTGAATAAAAAATAGAGCATTAGAGGGGACTAAGCAAAGTTATAAACATCAGAAAGTAGAGATCATTGATAGCTATTATAAGAATTAGTTATGCAATTTCCTTTTTTACCTTGAGTAGGAGATAAAGCTGTTTCTTTAAACTCACACAATTTAGGAATGCTAAATACAAATTTTTGAGGAACCTGTGTCAGAATCTGGAATTCACTATTTTTATGGCCTGTTCACTGATAAAGTATGTGATGTACAGAATGAGAGTTGTTAAAGGGATTCACTGTGGGATTATATAAAAATTAAATTGGAAATAACATCATTAGTTCCCCTGATCACAAAGACATTGTTTACCTTAGCAGAGGACAGATAGGCATGCAAAGGGACAAAGTCCTTATTAGTATGTGTGTATGTATCTGACCACATACATATTTATGTTAGTACGTCCACACTGTACATTTGAAACAAATTTTGTTGATTATTTAATGGAAAACTGACATTTGAACTAAGGTCTTCTATCCTTCAAATTCACTGATATAAAACATAACTGCTAAGCTATTTTATAATGCTTGCATCAACATCTGCTTCAAAGTACCCTGGACTGAAATGCTTAAATGAGTTTGAATCAGATAGTAATTTAGACAATTTAGATAGCTCCTATGCCCTTGTACATGGATTTTTATTCTACTTGAAATTCTGTTCTCACTCCCAACTCTAATGTTCTTTTCCTCTTTGTTAAAATTTTATTCATGTCACCTTTCTATGATTTTTGTGATTTCTTAAAATCAAATTGATTATGGCTGCTTGTTAGGATTTGTTTATAAACCTATTATAGTATTTACACAGCCAAACATAATCAGGCTGTAATAGATGGACTATTCATCTAGGGAGAGGAGGCAGTACATCTTGTACCTGAACATCAAGCACAGTCCTTGAGTAAAGCAAATTCTTAGAGGGGAAAAAAGCCTGTTCATTAAGAAGATTCCCGCAGGGAAGAGAAAACAAACTGCTGTTACTAAGAAAGTTTGTGATTTGTTACTGAGAGAGAGACACAGAGAGAGAGAGACAGAGACAGAGACAGAGACAGAGACAGAGAGAGACAGAGAGACAGAGAGAGAGACAGAGAGAGACAGAGAGAGACAGAGAGAGAGACAGAAACAGAGTAAAATACACACAGCAGGCTCTCAGCACAAATCCATTGCGTTGGTGAGGTCTGAGAGCCCGAGCTTAAGCCCGAATAAAGACTCTTTGTTCTTGCATGCCCTCTGGATTCCATGGTTATTCTTGGGGGTCCGTTCTCTGGGCACAACATTTGGGGGCCCGTCTGGGATCCCCAAGACCCCCCCCCCATGGGATCCCAGAGCGCTGAGTCTGCCTGATCCAATCGGTCCTGTTCACCACTGAAGAAAGAGACCAGATCCTGGTTGAAGCCCGCAAGCTGGTCCCTGGGGTGGATGGGAATCCCACCACCAATCAGGCCCTGATAGATGAAGCCTTTCCCCTGGTTAGGCTGAATTGGGACTTCAATGTGGCTGAAGGCGCAAATTGCAGAAATTGGACAGACTGGCAGATAAAAATCTACAATCATCGAGAGAGTCCTGAGGACAAGCAGGCCCCAGTCGCTGCCACTGCCAATGACAGGCAGACCCGTGACTTTGCCAAGATCCTCCTGGCCACATCGACCAGGTCTCCAGGTGAAAGAGAACACCAGCTGCAATGCCTATCTGCTGAACAAGGTAGGAGATGCCCAGAAGGGCGACCAAAACTGTTGAAAAACCAATGCGCCTATTGTAAGAAAATAGGCCACTGGAAGAAGGAATGTCCAGAAAGAGTGGCCGGGCAGGAGCAGATCCATGAAGGAACACGAGTCCTGGAGCTTGAGGAGTGGAGTGAATAGGGAGGACGGGGTTCGGATCCCCTCCCCAAGCCCAGGGTAACTCTTAGAATGGAGGGGACACCTGTGAGCTTCCATGTAGACACAGGTGCTCAACATTCAGTGTTAATAGAGACCCTAGGGAAATTGTCAAACAAAAGGTCTTGGGTACAGGGAGCGACTGGCATGAACCAATATTCATGGACCACCCAAAGGAAAGTGGACTTAGGCACAGGCCAGGTGTCCCACTCCTTCCTAATCATGCCAGATTGCCCCTACACACTCTTAGGTAGAGATTTGCTTACCAAAATTGGAGCCCACATCCATTTTTCACCTAATGGGGTTCATTTAATAGATAAAGGAGACCACCCCATTCAGGTACTGACCTTGCAACTGGAAGACGAGTATCAACTGCACCAAAAACTGGACCCACAGCCAATGGAGATTTCTGTTTGGCTGCAGGAATTTCCTCTGGCCTGGGCTGAGACTAGAGGGATGAGGCTGGCAGCCCACCGGCCACCCATCTGGGTGGAGCTGAAACCACGAGCCTTTCTGGCTCAGGTGAAGCAGTATCCCATGTCCCATGAAGCCAGATCAGGGGTTACCCCACACATCCGGAGGCTAAGAGACCAAGGCATCCTAATACCCTGCAGGTCTACATGGAATACACCTCTCTTCCCAGTAAAGAAGCCAAACTCTAAGGATTACCGGCTAGTACAGGATCTGAGAGAAGTAAATAAGTGGGTCATGGATATCCATCCCACGGTGCCCAATCCCTATACCCTCCTGAGCTCCTTGCTGCCCTCCAGGAGCTGGTATACTGTACTAGATTTAAAGGACACCTTCTTTAGCCTTCCCTTAGATAAGGATAGCCAGCTGTTCTTTGCCTTTGAATGGCAAGACCCAGAGATCAGCTTCAATGGACAACTGACCTGGACTCGCATGCCTCAGGGATTCAGAAATGCACCCACTCTCTTCAATGAGGCACTTCATGAAGATTTGGGTGAGTACAGGCTGGAACACCCCCAGCTCACCCTATTGCAGTATGTAGATGACATCCTGATAGCTGCTGATGATGCTCTACTATGTCAACAAGGAACTAGGGATTTGTTGGTGACTCTGGGCAGGCTAGGATATCGGGCATCCTCTAAGAAGGCACAAAC